CCCAGGATGGGGGCTGGGAAGAGAGGGGCTGTGCCCAGGATCCAGGCCGGGAAGAGAGGGGCTGTGCCCAGGATGGGGGCTGGGAAGAGAGGGGCCGTGCCCAGGATGGGGGCTGGGGAGGGAGGGGCTGTGCCCAGGACCTGGTGGGGAGAAAGGAGCTGTGCCCAGGATCCAGGCTGGGAAGAGAGGGGTTGTGTCCAGGATCCAGGCCGGGAAGAGAGGGGCTGTGCCCAGGATGGGGGCTGGGGAGGGAGGGGCTGTGCCCAGGATTGGGACCAGGGAGGGAGAGCCTGTGTGTTCAGTTTATGGCTGAAGCTGTGTCTTAGGGGAGCTGCCGTTCGGATGTCTGGGGAGGGCACGTCCCAGGCTTCTAGACACTCAGAAGTCCCGGTGGGAGCTGGTGCCTGCAGGGCACAGTCAGCCACACCAGCCTGGCCTCTGCACGCCACCCTGGGAACTTCATGTTGGGCACTCATCTTAGGATTCTCCTGTTTTAGCCACGGATGACATCGTGAAAGTTGAAGTCTGGGACGTGGTGGACAAAGGTGAGATGTCTCTGTTCTGTGTCTACTTACCTGCAGGACTGTGTGCTCTGCACAGAGAGGCCTCTCTTCTTCCCTCCTGGCACCCACGCATCACCCACTGTCCTTGTGGACAGTGCCCAGGGTCTGGCTGCTCTGCTCCCCTCCACATCCAGTGGTGGCACCAAGCGCTTTGCCACTTTAGCCGCCTCCTCGCCTGAGTGACCGTATGCGGCCGGGGTGTTATTTCAGGAGCTCTCTTCCTGCACTGCCTGGCAGAGCAGCCTAGAGCCAGGCGGCCCCACAGGGGCCAGCTCCTGCACTCCCAAGAGCTGGGTCCCAAGGCCGTCCCTCCAGGGGGATGTGTCCCCGACAGGGAGCCCCAGCCATACAGACCCACACTCTGGGGGCCACAGGAGGGTGCAGGCCAGCTCCTGCACTCCCGAGAGCTGGGTCCCAAGGCCGTCCCTCCAGGGGGATGTGTCCCCGACAGGGAGCCCCAGCCACACAGACCCGCACTCTGGGGGCCACAGGAGGGCAGCAACCCCCAGGGTGTCCTCGACAGCCTGTCTCCTCCTCAGCTGCAAGGCTACAAGTTCCTCTAAGTCCTCAGGGTGGAGCTCACAGCCCTTCCTGGGGCCCGTGGTCTGTGTGCATGCGTGGTGTGTGCAGGGCTGGCTGAGGGCAGGCCTCAGCCTTGCAGGCCTGGCTGTGGCCTCGTGAGGCTCTGATGGAAAGGCTGCAGTGGCGGACTCTGTGTGGTGGTGTCTGTTGGGATGGCACATGCTCCCCTCCCTCCACCCGTGCTTGTTGGGTGGGTTTGTCCATGGGGGGTCAGAGGTGGATGCTCAATTCCTGCAGGGGTACTGGGCCCCCTGTGGCTCCCCTCAGACTGCGCTGGACTCTGTGTGGACCATGCTGACCTGGTGGTCCAGAAGCTTTCTCTGTAGAGCTCTCATGAACTCTGGTGTTAAAATAGGCAGCCACCCACCGCCCTGTCATTGTCCCCATCCCCACTGTGAGGGGAAGCTGTCAGATCTGTCCACGGCCCCCAGGTGGCTCAGGCGGGGCTGCCCTGGCCCCCATCTTGGGCCCCTTCCGCCACTAGGGGCAAGGCGCCTTTTGGAGCTTCGGAGATTTCCTGTGCCTCCCTCCAGCTCTGGCTCCCTGGCTTTGCCCATGTGTGGAGCGGGCACAGGCTTCCCGTAGACAGGGTTGCCCAGAGTAGGGTTTGTATCCGGGTGCTGTAATGGGTGTGGTCTCCAGCGCTTAGGATGGGGCCCCCCTCGTGGTGGCCTGTTGTGCCCCAGGCTGGTCTGGAGGCCCGTGGGTGAAGAGGCCGGCCGCTAGATGAGGTGTGTGCCTCCTACACCCTATCCAGTGCTGGGCTGGGTGGGCTTCCTCTGGGGTCATCCCTGGCTGGGAGTTCTGGGGCTCCATGTGTACCCTTGCGCCCACCTGTTAGCACCCACTGGGAGAGGGTCACTTGGCCTAAACCAGGACCTCCTCAGGAGGGAAAGGACTTAGCTCCATGATGAGGCATTGCCTTCCACCCCATGTGCCTTCCACCCCAAGCTGTGTGAGGTGTGAGCACCCTCCACAGCGGCCAGGGCAGCCGGTGGGGCACACAGTGGAGGGGGTCTAGGCCTCATGGGCACTGGGTGAGAGGAAGGCAAGGCTGGCAGGCTCAGCTGGGGGGCTGCCAGGGATGGGGCTAAAGGGAGAAGTCTCTGGGCGAGCCAACATCCCTCCCCTCTGTCCCCCACCTGATTTCCCCAGAGGTGGTATAGCAGGCCAGATGGCTCGTCCAGGAGGTGCTGGTTAGGCTGTGGGCATCCTTCCTGGGTGTAGGTCCCCACCAGCCAGCAGTGCTGTGCCAAGTGTGTGTTGGGGCCTCGGCTGAGCCCTTTGTGGGCCGGACTGGGCACACTCCTCTGGGCTGGGTCCGTCCCCTGCACCTGAGGAGCGTCTGATCCTCAGTTCAGAAACGAGCTGTGGCATGAGTGGAGGGTGGAGTTTGAAACACGTGGCTCATCTGTACTTAGGGCTTTGTATGTTGTCCCAGTCTGAGACTCCAAGACTGGAACCCTGGAGTTCCCAGGCTGGTCTGGGAACTTTCTCCTCATGTCAACAGTGGAGATAAAGGGAGGGGGCCATGGCCCTTCATGGCTCAGGAGAGCCGTGGTGACCTTGATGGTGGAGGCTCGGGGGCCTGGACCCACAGGCACCACACAGCCACCCGCCTTCCTCCCGAGGCCACTTTGGGGCTGGGATCCCCACCTCCCTCTCCTTTCTTCCTGGGCTGGTTGCCGGAGTGAGGGGCGTGTCACTTGAGAGTCCATGTGCTTGTCTCCCCACTTTTATCCCAGGGGGAGGCCCCTCACCTTTCCACCTCATCCCTTGTACTTCCCCCGCCCTGGGCTTGGGCGTTGGGGCTGGAGAGGAGCCCTTCTTTCAGCTGGAAGCCCTCCCGTGCAGGGTGCGGGCCATGCCACTGCAGCCTGTCCATCCTTGCCCAGGTCCTGCTGCTCCAGAGCTCATGGGTGCCTAAGCTGCAGGCTGCCTTGGGTGGTGGAACAGGGCACCCACCAGAGCTGGGGCCTGAGTGGCTGTGGGGGGCCCATGCTCCTCTTGTGGCCCAGGGCTTCCACCTCGTAACTTTTGTTTGTTTTTAAATAAGGAAAATGTAAAAAGCGAGGCGATGGCTTGAAGATGGAGAACGACCCACAGGAGGTAGGTACAGAGTGCACAGTGGGTGGCTGGGGCCCTGGGTGGGGGAGCCAGTGCCCAACGCTTCACACCCCTTTTCCCCGAGCACCCCGTTATGCTATGGCCCCGGGACTGCTGCCTTCCCAGCTGCTTGGGGACCCCACACTTCTGTGGCTGCGTTGAGGGACTGCCGGTTCACCTGCACTCAGCAGACAGCAAGTTGGACTGGCCCCTCATTTGCATTTGAATGACCAGAGAGGTATTTAAGTGAACTTGCCAAACTCCTGTGCTGTCACAGCCACAGCAGCCTCTGCCCTTCAGCACAGGACACATCATGCAGCGGTGGCGGCGGGCGTGACTGTCATTCCCTAGAGCCCCCTGGGGCCAACCTAGCCTGAGCCTATGCCCTTCTCACCAGGAGAGCTCCAGGTCGCCACAGGGCCATGCACTCTCCCCTTAGGGTGTGGGAGGTGGAGTGACTGCCCACAGCTCAGCTGCCAGCCTGTTTGTGGGCACTGGAACCTTCCAGAATTCACATCTAGCTGAGGACAGCTGACAGCACAGCACCTGCTTCCATTTTCGAGTGGTGGTTTGGTCGTCCGTGAGGCCTGGGGTGGACACTGCTGTGATGAGCAGGAGGTCCCGGGTAGGGGCTTGTCCCAGGAGCCACCAGCGAGGCTGGTGTTGATTGTCAAACCCTTTGGGGCAAACCTGTGCTTAGCCATACCACCTCTTCAACACTTCTTTTTTTTTTTTTTTGAGATGGAGTCTCACTTTGTTGTCCAGGCTGGAGTACAGTGGTATGATCTCAGCTCACTGTGATGTCTGCCTCCCAGGTTCAAACAGTTCTCCTGCCTCAGCCTCCCAAGTCGCTGGGATTACAGGCACACGCCACCACACCCGGCTAATTTTTTTTTTTTTTAATATTTGATATTTAGTAGAGACAGGGTTTCACCATGTTGGCCAGGCTGGTCTTTAACTCCTGACCTCGTGATCTGCCTGCCTTGGCCTCCCACAGTGCTGGGATTACAGGCATGAACCATTGTGCCTGGCCTGGCATATCATTTCCAAATGGAAATGGCTATTATCTTTTCAGATTAGAAGACTATCAAGCTGTCAGGTGCAGTAATCCCAGCACTTTGGGAGGCTGAGGCAGGTAGATCACCTGAGGTCGGGAGTTTGAGACCAGCCTGGCCAACGTGGTGAAACCTTGTCTCTACGAAAAATACAAAAATTAGCCTGGTGTGATGGCGGGCACCTGTAATCCCAGCTACTCGGGAGGCTGAGGCAGGAGAATCGCTTAAACCCAGGAGGCAGAGGTTGCAGTGAGCCGAGATTGCACCACTGCACTCCAGCCCGGGCAACGAGAAAAACTGTACAAAGGAAAAAAAAAAAAAGATGATAACTATGGAGCCTTGTCCAGGACTGTGCCCCACATGGGCAGGGCCCAGCCTGGGCCAGTCTCACACCTGTTCCCTCCTATGCCCAGGCGGAGTCCGAAATGGCTCTGGATGCTGAGTTCCTGGACGTGTACAAGAACTGCAACGGGGTGGTCATGATGTTCGACATCACCAAGCAGTGGTGAGAGGGAGCTGCGGGGGCTGCCGGGACTCACCCCACACATAGCCCCTTGGTGTGGTGAGAGGGAGCTGCAGGGGCTGCCGGGACTTACCCCACACACAGGCCCTTAGCGTGGTGAGAGGGAGCTGCAGGGGCTGCCAGGACTTACCCCACACACAGCTCTTTAGCATGGTGAGAAGGAGTTTTGGGGGAGCTGCTGGGACTCACCCCACCCCTCATAGCCCCTTGGTGTGGTCAGAGGGAGCTGCCAGGGGCTGCCAGGACTCACCCCCCACAGCCCCTTGGGAACCCTCTCTGTGCAGCAGATGATGGTTAGAGCAGCATCGTTCTGCAGGGCTGAGGGCTGCTTGCTGGGCAGCCGTGGTAGCTCAGCTAAGAGGGGCACTGGCCTGGATGTCGGGCTGGGCACTGATCATGTCTATGTATGTGGGCCAGGATGGTGCACACTGGCTGCAAAAGCGCCTGGAGCAAGGCACACACCTTCATAGCCCCATATTTCTTCCTGAAAATTATCTGAGATTTGGCAGAAGCAAGTGGCCACCTGTGTTGGGGGCTCTCCGAGACCTCCATCTTCCATGGCCCAAGAGGACCCACAGCCAAGATTCATTCTGGCAAGAAGATGATGTCACAACCAGCTAAGGGCAGCACACACAGGACAATCTCTGGTGGACCAGGCGGGACCCCCCAGAGGCCACTGTGTGGAGTCACCTGGGACCCCCTCAGCTCCTCAGGGACACAGTGTCCCCCAGGACACACTGGAGCCCTAGCGCTGAGTGCTGGGACACACACTGGGTGCAAGGCTCCTGGAAGAATGAGGCTGAGTGAAGACCAGCCTCCAGGTGTGGGCCCCTCCTACCCACAGCAACAGCTTGTGCCCAACAAGCCTGACACACCCAGGTGTCTGCTCTTCCCAGCAGGGGGTCTGGCCTGGGCGCCTGGTCAGCAGCTTCTCTTACTTTGAGAAGACACCCACACCAGGGTTGAGCATACCACCTGCCACGGGGCGCACACTCAGCACACATCAGCAGCTCAGGCCTGAGGGCGGCTTGCAGCGCCTGGCTGGCCATGCTCTGGTCCTCTGTCCACCTTTGCCAATGGTGGGAACCCTGCCTGCCCTCCTAGCCTGCAGTGCCATCACCAAGGACTGATCAAAAGCACCCAAGGGAGAGCTCTTTGGAGGGTGTTGCACATAGATGCCAGGAGAACCACGTATGGAGCCAGTGGAAGAGCCCTCTGGGGGGTGTGGCACACGGACAGCAGGAGAACCACCCATGGAGCTCTTGGGAGAGCCCTCTGGTGGAGGTGGCATACAGACAGCCAGCAGGAGAGCCCTTGGGGAGGGTGTGACACATGAACTGCCAGAGAACCAAAATGGAGCTGGTGGCCACCCAGGGCAGGAGTCCAGTTCAGGCACACACACCAGCCTCACCTGGACGAGCAGGGGTGCTTTCTCCCTCCAGCCTCTCCTGTCTAGGAAGCAGGCCAGCCTGGTGGGTGGGAAGTGACTTTTCCCAAATGAAGCTAAGTATGGACGCAGAGTGGCCTCCACAGCACCTCCCACTGCTGCCACGGGAATGGCCTGGGGGGAGCTGCAGGCACCCAGGCTGCCGTGTGGAGTGGGCAGGAGTGGGCAGGAGGGGCCACAGGACTCGAGCCAGCCTAGGGAGACATGCCTTCACAGACGTGAGAGGCAGGAGACGCCGGAGGACAGAGGGCACCTGCTGAGGAAGCTGGAGGTGCCCCCGGGCTGGCCTTGGTGAGGGGGCCAGTTTAAATGACTGTGAGAATAAAAGAAAATTGAGTTAGAAACACAGGACGTTGCGTTTTTCACCCACTCGTGTTGGCTTCTGTCAGTTGTGGGGAAGTTTTGTCACTTGAAGCACTACTAATTTCTTCACAAGCCATTTGGAAAACCATGCAGCTGAGACTCGCAGCTCACGCCAGGCAGATCCTGGAGACCTGCCGTCCGTGCCGGGACATGTCTGCCGAAGACAAGGCTCTCAAATAGCCCGCTTAGACGGCTCTATTCCGGGGTTCTGTGACAGCTTCGGGCAGAGCCTGGATGTGGATGTCCTGCATCTAACGCAGTGTAGCGCCTGAAGCCAAGCCAGCTCCAGAGGTGTCTGGAGGAATTTCGGTATTTGCTGTGTAACCTCGTCAGCCCACCAGGGTGGCCATGCAAGTGGCCAAGAGGGCAAACACTGGACTCCACCTGAAGTAAGTCGGATGTTGTACATAAGAAATCTGCTGCAGGCCGGGCGCGGTGGCTCAAGCCTGTAATCCCAGCACTTTGGGAGGCCGAGGCGGGTGGATCACGAGGTCAAGAGATCGAGACCATCCTGGTCAACATGGTGAAACCCCGTCTCTACTAAAGCTACAAAAAATTAGCTGGGCATGGTGGCGCGTGCCTGTAATCCCAGCTGCTCAGGAAGCTGAGGCAGGAGAATTGCCTGAACCCAGGAGGCGGAGGTTGCGGTGAGCCGAGATTGCGCCATTGCACTCCTCCAGCCTGGGAAACAAGAGCGAAACTCCGTCTCAAAAAAAAAAAAAAAAATACAAAAAATTAGCTGGGCATGGTGGCGCGTGCCTGTAATCCCAGCTGCTCAGGAAGCTGAGGCAGGAGAATTGCCTGAACCCAGGAGGCGGAGGTTGCGGTGAGCCGAGATCGCGCCATTGCACTCCAGCCTGGGTAACAAGAGGGAAACTCCGTCTCAAAAAAAAAAGAAATCTGCCGCACAGAATCACAGCTGAAGAAATGTTGGATGTATTTGGGAAATAAGGACCTATTCGTCAAATCAGAGTGGGGAGCACACCTGAAACCAGAGGAACGGCTTCTGTGGTCTGCGAGGACATCTTTGATGCCAGGAGTGCGTGTGATCACCTATGGGGATTCAGTGTTTGTAGCAGATGCCTTGTGGTTTTGTGCTATGATGCCAACAGGGCATTTCAGAGGGTGGACGCAAAGGAGGAGGAACAGCTGAAGCTTCTCTAGGAGAAATACGGCATCAACGCAGATCCACCAACATAAATGTTTTCTACCTTTTCATTTTGGACTAAAACCCACGATTGGCAGCTACCACTTTTTCCTTTCTTTCCTTCTTAATTAACACTATATACTGTGATTTCTTATTTGAGGTTCAAAATGACATGCTTGAAACTTTGATGCATATTAGAATACGTGATGTTAATACATTTGTTGCTTTTTGTGGGGAAAAAAAAAAGCCTGCTTGACTGGCCATAGCAGGGGCACCCAGGACTGCTGTCCTTGGCCTCCCTGGTGGGCAGGGACCCTGGAGGAGCAGCCACGGGGCTGGGCTGATGCCGAGGGGCACATGGGACAGGGCAGGATGAGGGTGGGTGCAGGCAAAACCTGAGGCGGTTTTGTAAGGATGCAGACATGGGGTGCTCCTCTGTGGGGTGCAGTCAAGTGCGTGCCATCCGGGCGAGGATGGGCAGGGACAGTGGGGGTGCTTCTCTGTGGAGCGCAGTCCAGTGTGTGCGGTCAGGGAGAGGTCAGGCAGAGACAGGCTGGGGCGCTCCACTGTGGAGTGCAGTCCAGTGTGCGTTCAGGGAGCAGACGGGCAGAGCTGCAGGCTGGGAGGGTGCAGAGGCACCTGCGGCACTTTCTCTAGCTCTGCAGGCACGCAGCGTGCTCCTGCTGGTGCTCCCGTCTTGAGGCCTGCGCGCACAGCAGCCTCCCAGGGAGGGACAGGGCGTCGAGGGGCTGAAACTAAGCCAGGTCCTCACCTGTTCCCCAAGGACCTTCAATTACATTCTCCGGGAGCTTCCAAAAGTGCCCACCCACGTGCCGGTGTGCGTGCTGGGGAACTACCGGGACATGGGCGAGCACCGAGTCATCCTGCCAGACGACGTGCGTGACTTCATTGACAACCTGGACAGGTGAGCGCAGGGGAGGTGCTGAGGCAGAGGCCTTGGGAGGGGCTCGGGAGGTATTAGTGTTATCGTGGGGGCTGGGGGATGTGAGGGGTTGCGCCACTGCGTGGGGTTTCCTGAAGCCTGGGTCTCCCAGATGGCAGTGCCTGGGAACTCTGCCAGGGTGAGGTACTGGTACTGGGGTTCCCCTGCAGAAGGGCACTCGGCTCAGCTGCTCAGGAGTCTCAGCAGGGTCCTGTGGCCTCAGGAGCCTCCAGGAGGAGGGAGGGCAGTATGGACCAGTGGCCGTGGGCCCAGGGGTGGTCCTTGGCATGGGGGGCAAGGTTGCTCTTGCATCTGTCTTCCTTCCTGAAAGCAGACCTCCAGGTTCCTCCTACTTCCGCTATGCTGAGTCTTCCATGAAGAACAGCTTTGGCCTAAAGTACCTTCATAAGTTCTTCAACATCCCCTTCTTGCAGCTTCAGGTAAGCACTCACCGTGCAGGCGGAGTGGGCACTGGTCTTGCCCCTTCCTGCTGTGTCTCCTACATAGCGACGGGGCTCCCTCCTCACCTGGGCCTGCTTGGGTTAGCTGCTGGCCAGGGCCCAGTGCCCTGCTGTGCCTGCCTGCCCAGGTGGCAGAGGGTGCAGGTCCTGAGGGCCGGGCCCAGGCCCAGACGCCCCTCCACCTCTGCGGGGACACCTTGCTCAGTTTCCCCCTGTGGTTTTGGTCGTTTTTGTGTGTTGAGATAAAGTCTTGCTGTGTGGCCCAGGCTGGCGTGCAGTGGTGCAGTCGTGGCTCACTGCAGCCTCAACTCCTGGGCGTAATCTGTCCTCCAACCTCAGTCTCCCAAGGTGCTGGGTTGACACGCGTGAGCCACTAAGGCCCTCGCTGTTCACAGCTCACATTTCCTTTTTTAATTTTTTTTAAATTAATTTTTTTTTTTTGAGACAGAGTCTTGCTCTGTCACAGGCTGGAGTGCAGTGGCACAATCTCGGCTCACTGCAACCTCCGCCTCCTGGGTTCAAGCGATTCTTCTGCCTCAGCCTCCCAAGTAGCTGAGACCACAGGCGTGTGCTACCAGGCCCGGCTAATTTTTGTATTTTTAGTAGAGACGGGGTTTCACCATGTTGGCCAGGATGGTCTCGATCTCTTGACTGCGTGATCCGCCCACCTCGGCCTCCCAAAGTGCTGGGATTACAGGATTGAGCCACCACGCCTGGCCCACAGCTCACATTTCCATGGTGCTTGTGTCAAAACCAAGGGGTCAACTTTGGTCTGTGGACTAAACTCCATTTCCCTCCTGGAAGCAAGGGGCCAAGGCCAGCTCTGGCTGCAAAGTAGCCCAGCAAACAACGAGGCTCCAGCCTCCTCCCCCACACTGCTCTATCTGGGTCTGAGGACCTGGACCTCCTCGCCCTGGCCTGCCCTGACTGGGTCTGGGGGACCTGGACCTCCTCGTCCTGGCCTGCCCCGACTGGGTCTGGGGGACCTGGACCTCCTCG